AAAAAAAAAAAGATTTTATTTACTTGAGGGGCGCCTAGGTGGCTCAGCCTAAGCGTCTGCCTTCGGCTCAGGTCATGATCCCAGCATCCTGGGATCGAGCCCCGCATCGGGCTCCCTGCTCCTCGGGAAGCCTGCTTCTCCCTCTCCCACTCCCCCTGCTTGTGTTCCCACTCTCGCTGTGTCTCTCTCTCTGTCAAATAAATAAATAAAATCTTTTTTTTTAAAGATTTTATTTATTTGCGAGAGAGAGAGAACTTGCACGTGCAGGAGGAGGGGCAGAGTGGGAGGGAGAGGGAGAGGGAATCTGAGCATGGAACCCTATGCGGGGCTCAATCCCACAACCATGAGATCACAACCTGAGCTGAAACCAAGAGGCAGCCGCCCAACTGACTGAGCCACCCAGTGCCCCTATTTCACGTACAATTATTTAATGTGTTAAAATCTTTTTTATTTTTAAGCAAACTCTAGGGGATGCCTGGGTGGCTCAATCAGTTAAGCATCTGCCTTTGGCTCAGGTCATGATCCCAGGATCCTGGAATCGAGTCCCACATCAGGCTCCTTGCTTGTTGGGGAGCCTGCTTCTCCCTCTGCCTGCCACTCCCCCCTGCTCGTGTTCGCTCTCTCTCTCTGACAAATAAATAAAATCTTAAAAAAAAAAAAAAGTAAACTCTATGCCCAATGTGGGGCTAAACTCATGACCCGGAGATCAAGATTTGCATTCTCTACCATGAACCAGCCAGGTGCCCCCATAATGTGTGACCATTGTATTTCTCCAGAAAGATTTATAATATCAGGGAACAGTGACTGTATCATATGCTGCTACATACCCAGAAAATGTTCAATAGTCGCTGAAGCCAGCCAATTGAGGACACAAAACAAGGAAAGAAAATCTGATCCTGCGTAGGCTTATTTGTATCTTGAGGATTAGAAAAAAATTATAATAGAATATATTTATTTTGGGGCGCCTGGGTGGCTCAGTCGTTAAGCGTCTGCCTTCGCCTCAGGTCATGATCCCAGGGTCCTGGGATCAAGCCCCACATCGGGCTCCCTGCTCTGCGGGAAGCCTGCTTCTCCCTCTCCCACTCCCCCTGCTTGTGTTCCTGCTCTCGCTATGTCTCTCTCTGTCAAATAAATAAATAAAATCTTTAAAAAAAAAAAAGAATATATTTATTTTACTGTACATTCTACGAATATTTGATACTTTTTCAATACTTTTTCCAGTTATTAAGCATATCAACATTTTTCTCACTTAGATGCTGAGGCTGTTGCATCAGCATTTGAAATGTACTGAAGTTAGAAAACAAGGCTGTCTTACGGCCTTGCATTTTAGTTTTTCTGGCTTTTGATAAATATTTATCTGGCCTTTCATAATGACCTCCAAATAACTGCACTAGACTATCTGCTTGTAGAAATTACACAAATAATTTCAAGAGCAGCTGAAGCTACTGTAATACACATCCTCACAACCTTCACCCTATCTAAGATAAATACT